AGAACATTTTTCTGGTCTTTAAACAATAAGTAAAGATTAATGTGAATAAATTATTTAAAAATAACAATGAGCAACTACTTTTGAAAAAAACACAACATTCTAAGCATTAAATAAAGTTGCAATCTTCTATGTGCTTATACACTTTTCTGAACAGGCACACATAGGATTGCACTGTTAAAGTGAAAATTCATAGGATATAGAATCTTATATATGCCAAACACACACTGCCATGATCAGAATATATGAATAACTTAACAGTATTTATACATCACATTTAAACACAATTCACAAAGGATCATCCATAATAAAATAGAATGACAAAATCCAATAAATAGAAAGTGAACAAGCAGAAAACCAGTAGTAGTAAAATTAGGAAAATTAACAATAAAATAAAGTAAAATCATAATAAAACAACAGACCTTTGGAAAAAATCATTAGAATATAAACATATCAATACAGTACAATATTAAGAATACTCAGCTTAATAGGGCTGGCTAGGATGCCCTGGTTGCTTCAAAAATCTCACTGTTATTAACAGTTGCAAAGAATTCATTTATAGGTTTTGAAACCTTGTGATGTACATAAAATTTCCATGCTTATCAAAACAAAACAAAACAAAAATAAGGCCACTATCCTTTGTGTGCGAGAGGGGGTTCCTGTGTTTGCACTGGCTGAATCCATTCTTTTCAGCAGAGCTTGTAAAGAAGCAATTCTCAGCGGGTTGTGTAGCAATTCTCAGACTTCCTTAGTATGTATGATCTATACTTAAAGCAATACTCCACCATGTGGCATGGTCTGAAAACCTTCCTCAAACACGTTTTAAAATTCCACAGAATTCTTGGCTTATAGAAACTTTGTTGTTGTTCTTCTGGAAACGGCTTCTGAGATTTGTTGCAAAATGTTTTCTCTTTTTAAAAATTCAATATAAATTGCATCCAAAACACAAAATATGAAATCGGAGTCAGAGAAGTGCTACTCATCTCCCTCAATATACCTGTAATAGGGCAAGGATTATATCTGTTTGGTGGTAGATCAAACGACACAAACCTATTGTAGGAGGTAGGAAAGTTGGCCACCCTTTCTAGGCTAAGCTTGGTATTGGTCAGCTTTGATTTATGCAGTAGGAGAGGCCAAGAATCAGCAGTTATCACCTAGTTTCTTTTCTACAGGATATCGCACTACCACTTAAAAAGAAAAAATCCATTAATGAATTTACTTTGAAGTATGTTTCATCTTCAGTTTCCACATTAATAACATTTATTTTAAATAAGCAGCTGCATTTTTGGGTGACATTGCTAAGCACTGTAGCCAGTAATCTACTGCTATTCCCCTGCTCTGTGAAAGCTCAATCTGTAGGCTTCTGAGACCTACGGATACTATGAATTCTACAAATAATATCTTAAAGAAAGCCATTAACTATCAGCAGGGTGTCACAGGCATCTCTCATCCAGGGTTGTTTTCCTAAAGTTACACCTGCCTGGAAAAATTCCCATATTCTTAGTTCCAGAGAAGGGGTTTCTGGGAGTTGTGGTCCAAAACACCAACTCTTCCAAGCCCTGTTTTGTCATGGTCTCTGCAGTTAGAGATCAAGTAGAAGGCACCATCAGAATTTTTTCTGCCTAAAATTGTAAAACAAAACTGCTAGCCTAAAGACTAGTCTTCCCCAACATGTGTGGGGTCCTAAGTCTCATCATCCACAGAAAATCTAGCCAGAAGCCTGGGGCAGACAATACTAGACCAGTGGATAAATAATCTGGCCAGCTGTAAGGCAGCCTCTTGAAATTTTAATAGGATGATTTAATCCAGGGAAAAAGCACAGGTTAGTGCCACGAGTTAACATGGAGGGCCTGAGGTTCTCCCTGGCACCTGGAGATAAAGACTAAATTGCCAGGTTTATCATATGAACTCTTGAGTGAATGCTGCAATGCACGTCCAGCATGCTAACCGACTTGTTCTGAAGTTTTCAAATGCTTTAAAATGAAGTATACAGTAATTATAAAGTCTATGACAATGCTGTTATTGTTAGAAGCGCAGTTATGGTTATTGCATTTGTTTTAATGAATGCTTTTAGGAGTATAGCATATTTGTTGAAATACAGTGTAACAACAAATGGACTGATAACAGAGGTGAAACAGGTCCAGTACCAGCCACAACCAAAGCTATATTTTATGCCGTCGTGATGGGATGGTGACTTAAGTGATTTTAAAATAAAAAAATTGCAGATGACTTTTTAAAAGTCTTGTCAAATAGGTATCTCCACACACACATACCCATAAAAGGCACAGAAACATTCGTACAGCTTAGAATTTCAGAAAGGAAGGGAGCCTTTAGGAAAGAAATATTGTATGCAGTCTGCTCCACCTTCAGAAAAACCACTCCAGCCAGAATCCAAAATCCCCAAAGTGTTCCCATTTCTGCTGTCATAGTTTCCTATTTTAAAAAAAGATTTATTTGATACAGGATGTCCATTTTAGGCTCTGCTAAATCGATAGCTGTTTTTAATGTGTTTTATATTTTGATATGATTCCCATATGTATGTACCTTACTGATTTGATTGAATTTCTATGTTCATTTGCGTCACATATCACTGCGAGATATATCAGCAGCATTAAGTATTAGCTACTTTATTTGTTACAGGGAAACTGATACATTCTAGTAATAAATTACATTAAATTATTCTGGATTGTGGCCAAATGTCCTGAAAGGTCATTGTTGTTTTCTTAAAAGGGAACAAAGTGTTAACAGCATTTAGTAAAAGGAACCAGAAGATTAACAACTTACTTGTGCTCCTGCATTGCATTCAACCATACTGCTTGCCCTCAAACTGAGGAGATATCCAGCCTTTTTTTTTAAATACCTGTATCAAATGTAATCATATTATTAAAGTGAACCCTGCTAAGTCTCATGGAATTGTTTTTAAGGACTCCCTGGGGCTGTTATTTACAGTCTCAAACATCTGCCAAAAATTCCATCATGTTCTTATTCTTTAAATCCACAACAAAAACACAACAGCATTAGCTTTGGGATCTTTCTAAATAACAGTTAATGTGTTTCTTCAGAAGGAAGATGTCTGCAGCCCAAACTTAATATTTTAATGTATAAATCACAAATCAAGGCAGAGAATGAGCTTAAGACAGGTCAGTTGATGGAAAACACTGAAGTCATTTGGAAATTCTGAAGTTATAAAATGTGTGACTTGTGAGCAATTAAGCACAATACTGGAAACATGAGCAGAAGCATTCCTATACTGCATTTGATCCATCAGTCATGTAACAGATATGGTGTACAATCACATTGTTTGAAGGGGTTAGAGAGCTCACATAGTCCAACCCTTGATTGATGCAGAAAATTCAGTGACAGCATCTCCAATAAGTGGCCACCCAGACAGGGCAGGTAGTAAGTAAAGTGACAGTGGACCTTTTAAGCTAAGATGCATCTTGGCTGTGGGCATATAAGAGAAGTCAGAACCCAGCCTAATTAATTCTGGTTATATCACCATTCTTACGGTATCCTATACCACAGTCTGTATACCCAGTGTGGTCTAGTGCATAGTGATGGGCTAGGAGTCCTGGGTTCAAATCCTCATTTCAGTCATGGAAACTCACTGCGAGTGTGGAACTGGTAAAAACCATTCCTTAAATATCTCACTTACCTTGAAAGCTCTACTGACTTGATGGCACATAACATACCACAGCCAAGAGGGAAGCCTGTTACTCCTTACTTCTGACTAAACAGAATGTAGAGGGCAAAGAGAGATACTTGTGAAATGAGAATTTTTTTAAAAAAAACATACCTGCACTGATGCTGGAGGTAGCCATAGACAGGTATGTCTCTGAGCAAATGACTTACCTGTCCACGTATCTAGCTTCTCTTTTAAAACCTGTTTAGTGAAGGATAGCCTAGTGCCTCTTGAGGGAATCTTCTAATTATCATTGCATTCTTTCAAATATTTTGTTAAATTCTCTTTTACACAATCTAACCACAGTGGCTAATTTTCTATCCTTTGGAACAACAGACAACATTACTTCATCTTAAAATATTTGGATATCAGTAGTTTGCTCTTATATCTGTTTCTCAACTTTTATCATAGAGCCTGGTGTCAGGTATAAACAAAATTACTTTAAATCAATGAGACTTACCCAACCTAATATCTGAACAGAAAGTTACACAAAGAACAGTTACATAGAACTAGAAATGCTTAACATTATAGCCATCACTCACTGGAGCCAAAGCTGATCTACAGCTGCTCGCCCAGTTTTGTCCATACTGGGACAGGCATAACGTAGCTCCAGTAGTATAACCAGGTCTACTTCTAAGAGAACTGGGGTGCACAGCATAATATTGCATTAAACTGCACATAACTGTACACAACTACCATTCTGAAGGTGGAACCAAAATTACAGCACAATCGTGTACAAATGCACTCAGAAGTTAACACAACCTGAGAACTAATGGCTACACTCGGCAGATGCAGAATTTGCTTTCTTGTTTAGTTTAAATGACTTCTAGTTTTGTCTTGTACATAGGACTTGACTTTTAAAAATCCATTTGTTGTTGTTTAAGGAGGCAGTGGAAGACAGAAGGGCCTGGCATGCTCTAGTCCATGGGGTCATGAAGACTCGGTCATGACTTAACGACTGAACAACAGATTGTTGTACATGAAAAATATAAAATATCCCCTGAAAATCAGCCCTAATGCATTTTTGGAGCAAAAATTAATATAAGACCCTGTCTTGTTTTCGGGAAAACACGATATGTAGGATCACATGGAGAGCTCAGTTCAACACACGGATTAGTATCATGGGCTTTCTGAATACATTTTTTCAGACATAGTTATACAAAAATGTATAACAGAATACAGTATATAACAAAAATGTATAACAGGGGGCCGGGAGACTCTGGTCTGTATAAATTGACTATATCCTTTCTCCAATAAAGTTACCTTTCTCATTGATGCATGAAATCTTAATATGTTTATAAAATACACAAAATGCATGAAGCAGCTGACAGTCTGGTTTTATTTATTTTATTTAAATCGAGATGCACTCTGATTATGTTGGGGAAAGTCTTGGAACCTTATATCTCACAATTCTGCCAAGTTCAGGAAGAAATACTGTACGTAAGAATGTCTCCTACTTCGCCCAACCCAAAACTTTTGGTGGACAACACTTTGTATATATTGCAGAATGATCAGTGTACAAAACCCCCGTTATTCTCTTTTCACATCTGGTTAACTACTTCTATTCAACTTTCTCATGTGCATATGCACAGCACATAATGATTTCTGGTTAATCAGCTAGTGAAACTAAAATGAAGTGTAAAAATACAGATTTATCTAATAAAAGAATTCCAGGTCCAATGACTGCATTTCTGCACTTCACAGGTTCTCTCTCATTCTTTTCTCTTTTTAGCTTTTGGTTGTGACAATCCAGGGAGTCCATCATCTTCCTCGCACAATTTTCTTTTCTTTTTCTTAGATTTGCCATGATCACTATGGTAACCACTTGAATCGCTGGCATGTGTTCCTAAGTCTGCTATGTTCTGACCATCTTCTCTGTCTGGCACATCTTGTATTCTACTATCAATGTCATGGTTTGCTATATCTCCACTTTCAATCCCAATAGCTGCCATGTCAGTCTCCATTTCCTCTACGCCATTCTGCATGTCACAATGCTTGTCATGTTTTTTCTTGTGCTTTTCCCTTGGCGTCTCTTCTTCAATGCTGGATTGAAGAAAGAATGCACAGAATAAGCCTTCTAAGACATGCTGAATCACTATACTGCAAGAGAAACTATAATGGTTGTCTTACAATTAAAGCTATGTATTTTAACACTATTTCAAAAATGTATATGTTCATTGTATTTCTGCCTCTTGTATTTTTGGCAAGGATTAAATGTTCTTCTACACGGTACAAAAACCTGAATGCATAGCTAAACAAGCCCTATTAACTGAAAACAGAATGCAGTTAGGTGCATCAGAATCCACTGCAGAGGTATGAAACCTTTGGCCATGCAGATGTTAATGAGCGCCACTGGCCAGGCTGGGTAGGACTGATGGAAACTGGAGTTCAACATCTGGAGGGCCACATGTTCCTGGGTATAGTGGACAGAAATGCTTTGATTCTGAAAGGTACTGCTGACTCAAATCTATGTGTCTCACTTTCTATGTTAACCCCATTCATAATGATCAACAAACCATCTGTACAGCATTTTTCAGGGAACTGGAAAGGCTATCACAGGACAGATGGGGAGAATAAACCTACTTCAGGCAGCTCAGCTTGTGTGCCTAAATATGGATCTATCAGAGTTTTCAGTATCCTCTTCAAGACACATGGAGCAAAAAGGCATCTCAGAAAATGAACTGGTTTATGGCGGTTTTGGCCCATCTCTGCCCCCCACCCCACTGCCACTGCCTGGCCTACCTGGCACCATCAACACTGGTGCCATCACCTTTCGGTGGCCCAGAGAGGCAATGGTGGTGGTGCAGAAGCTAGCTAGAGGAGCCAGGTTGCATCCTCTGCATATGTGCCTGCTGACCAGCTGGTGAGCAGGGAAGGCACTGAGGCTTTCCTGGCAACAAACTAGCCAGGGGGCATATACACAGAGGCAGTAGGCCAGCTTCCCTGCCAGGGCCGCTGCCTCTGAGGATGGTACCTGGGGATTATTATGCCATTCTGGGCGGCAGTGGCAGGTAGGCCAAGGTGATAGGAGGTGGCAATGAGAAGGGGTTGGGTGGGTAATCCCAGTTTGTCAAAGCAAACAAAACGCCAAGGGGAAAAAAAATTCAGCATTTCATTTTGTTTCTGCAAAATAGGATTCCCAGTTCATTTCACTGGATTATAAAATAAACCACAAACCAGCCCGTTTTGTTGGGTTTTTCAGTTCATGGTTCATTTCGTGCCCATCTCTATTCACCACAGAAAAGCAAAATTAGCCCAGATTCAGTATTTCAAAATTCTACTGAATATGGTGCACAGCCTTATTCCTTCTCCTGCACACTAGAACTAAATTTCTTGTACTGAAGTATTTTTAAAAAGCAACAGTATATTACTGTACCTGTTTCTACACAATCTTCCTCGGATACAGAACACTCCAGCAGCATCTGAGTCAAACTGCAACACTTTAAATACCAGTCTATTGCCTATTTGAAAGCCAACATTTTTCCATTCATCAGTTGATATGTGATCAGGTTTAGGGATGGAAGCATTAAAACATCCATGTACCAGACATCCTAGATGGCTAGGTGCCACTTTATTGATTACACCCTAGAAAAAGACAGATACATCAGGGTTATGGTGTAGAATCTATTTTTATTATGTTTTTCACATATAAAACAACAACGTAGGATTAGCTCTTACTCTTACATTCTTTACAAATTCCACATGGATGAAGACAATTCAGTGCATAAACTCTGATGTTTACAAGAAGCTATCACTGCAGTAAGCAGAGACCAGTTTTGCAAATATTTACAAAAGATTTCAATTGTAAAGCATAAGTAAGTTTAGCTTTTTTTGCAAAATTTAATAGTAACACAAAATTTGAGCCCATTTAGAGTTACACAGCATTCATCTGAAGAAAAGCACATCTGTATATTACTGTACCTGTTTCTACACAATCTTCCTCTGATACAGAACACTCCAGCAGCATCTGAGTCAAACTGCAACACTTTAAATACCAGTCTATTGCCTATTTGAAAGCCAACATTTTTCCATTCATCAGTTGATATGTGATCAGGTTTAGGGATGGAAGCATTAAAACATCCATGTACCAGACATCCTAGATGGCTAGGTGCCACTTTATTGATTACACCCTAGAAAAAGACAGATACATCAGGGTTATGGTGTAGAATCTATTTTTATTACATTTTTCACATATAAAACAACAACGTAGGATTAGCTCTTACTCTTACATTCTTTACAAATTCCACATGGATGAAGACAACTCAGTGCATAAACTCTGATGTTTACAAGAAGCTATCACTGCAGTAAGCAGAGACCAGTTTTGCAAATATTTACAAAAGATTTCAATTGTAAGGCATAAGTTTAGCTTTTTCTGCAAAATTTAATAGTAACACAAAATTTGAGCCCATTTAGAGTTACACAGCATTCATCTGAAGATAAGCACATCTTTACAGTAGCTTAAAAGGCGTATGAAACTACGATGAATGCTTAGCAGATCAGAAAGTTAAACACACATATGCTTCTGTTATGAAGTGAAATTACTTTTAGAAAATTAGTCTCATCATCCCTTCGCACTTGGCATTTTTAAAACCTTGGGCAGCATCTAGTCAGATGATCAATGCTGCAGATACAGTACCTTAAATATGGTTTCCGGACCAGATGCGCCTCTTTAGAATTGTGACTTTATAGAAAGAGCATCAAGATTTGCCATATGAAAAGTTCATATATGAAATGGGAATCTGAATTTTGTGAAACACTTCCAAAACAGTTCCTGATCTCATTTACACATAATAATTAACAAAGAACACTGCCCATATATAATTTCTAACCCTGCTTTACTACTGCATCTTTTTGCTCAGACTAATAAAAAAACAACATTCACAAAAAAACTAGAGAATAACAGATACATTTATGTCTTTAATGGTGTTAAGAATATTTAATACTACATACAATCAGACTGCTAAAATATAAATGTCTACAAAAAGAAAACAGAAACCATGTTATCTTTAGAGAAAAGTTTGGAAAATATCTTAACTGGATTTTGAAAAGTAAAAAACAAAGCAGACTTTTGTCTGCATGATGGAGAGACTGTAATGGGATATCTTAACACTTCTGTCTCAACTGAACCTAAAAGCTCCATATTGCAGTCTGCACTCAAGAACCGTAATTTTAACACTTGACTTAATTTTTTTAACTACTACCTTCCTCCCTTACCTCCCAAGATTTACACTTTCTTTGCCTGAGAAATGACCAAAACTCAAAAACTCACATCCTTCATAACTTCTTACTAACTCAGGAATTGCTTAAGTCACAACTTTGTGCCTACAAAAAAGATAGTTTATTGTTCCTGGAGCAATCAAGCCAATGCTAACCACCAAGTGATTTACCACTAGGCACTGTTTATATTTATCAGGAGAGCACCACTTCAAGTGTTAGAAATAAGAATGTTTATTTCTTTCTATACATACCACAAGTTTTTTCCCAGCTTTAGGCTGAAAGACAACAAAATTTGCTTCAATGTTCAGATGGATGGCTCCAATGTCATCGATAATATCTCCCAGTTCTTTTGTTATTTTAATATCGTCATAAGCCACAGGAACGCCTTGAAAACTGCAAAATAAAAGTAACCAGTTCCCACCAATGAACAAAAACACCACCAACGGAAGTCTTCAAGTACTAGGAAAGACTTAAACAGCAGAAGAGATCCAACGTTAGTTTAACTAATAATTCCACTGATATGGCTATTATAACAATGGCAGGTACAGTTTATTAGGGAAAGCCTCAGACCAGGGTTTGGGGTTTTGACGAGGCACAATATATTTAACAACCAACATGCCTATCCGCGTGTTGATTTAATCTTCAACCACCTCGCACACTTTTCGTGACCGAGACCGTTCTCTACCAGTTTTGCGGAGAACACGAAGGAGTGAGAGGACCTGATCGCCTCCCCACAAGAGGGCCTTTTTCAGGGCCCCCGAGTGCTTTTCACACGACCCGAATTACACGCGCCCCGACCTTTCGGAGTAGCGTCGCAGCTCCGCATCCAGCTGGGCGCAAATCCCGGTCCGCTTCCGGTGCAGGAACCGCGGCGGCAGCGCGACGTGCCTTCGGTGCGGGGTCACCACCAGGCACGAGTAGCGGCTCTCCGCCAGCGCTTGCACCGTCTCGAAGGAAGGCAGCTCGAGGCCGAGAGGAAGGGCCGGGGTGGCGG